ACACCTGTAATCCCAGTAACTTGGGAGGCTGAGACAGCAGGATCTCAAATTTGAAGCCACCCTCAACAACCTGGCAAGACCTTGTCTCAAAATAAACAATATAAATAAACCCAAAATAAACAATAAAAATGGATGGGGACATGGTTTAGTGATAAAGCCCCTGTGGGTTCAATCCCCAGTACACACAGAATGGGTGGGTTCAGGCGCTTGTAAGCCCAGTTTCTTGGGAGGCTGAGGCAGGAGGATCACAAGTTTGAGGGTAGCCTTGGCAACTTAGTGAGACATTATCTCAAAATAAGTAAAATACGGCGAGGGATGTGACTCAGTGATGGAGCACTTGCCTGGCATGCATGAGGATCTCAGTTCAATTCCCAGATCACATACACACACACACACACACACACACAATAGGCCCATCAGCTGAAAAGTTGAAAGCCAGGAACCAGCTAATTGAGCTGGGGCTTCGGGGGTGTCTACGTGGGATCCCCTACAGGTTAGAAGGAGGGCGACAGGGAAGTGCTGTCGCGAAGAGACCTCAAAGGCAGTGTGAGCAGAGTAAACAAGGGACACAGAATAAAATCATCACTGCTTTTAAAAATGCATAGGGAAAAACCTCCAAAATAGTTGTCCCCATAGGGAGAAGGGTGGGTGACCCAAGGACAACTTTGTAGCCTTCTCTGTCCAGGTTTTAGGCTTTAAGGATGATATATTCATATGCTCACATAACCACCTGAGTCCCCAAACCCAACACACACACACACACACACACACACAACGGCCACAGGAGGCAGGGGCTGGGGACAGGGTACCTGGGCCTGGGGGGCGGGCGGGGTGGAGGAAGCCGGTCAGCGGGGGGTCCTGGAAGGCCACACTGAGGTCACTGCACCATCACGGGGCTCAGTGACAAAGAAGGTCCTGGAGTCCCCAGCATGGCAACCCCAAGGCCCCCGACCCCTGTTGTCCCCCCCCTCAGCCCCCGCCGCCCCCCCCCGGGGATCTCGGTGGGCCTCAGGCCCTCCCCGGTCCCTGAGAGTCGCTGGCCGCCTGCTGGTGCTGCAGACAGAGCAGGGCCACCCAAAGGAGCCGCTTTCTAACGCTCAAGGGTGAAGGGGCAGCCTGGAGGGGGCCGAGCTAGCGACCCAGAGGTTCAAGTTCAAGGGCACGATGGTTCCCCGGACGTCATGTCCTGGGAGTCCTGCCTTCCACCGCGCTGGGGCGAGCCCTGCCTTCCCTGCTCCTCCAGACCCACCACTGCCACCGAGGCTCAGGGAAAGGCGGGAAGTCCCGGAGCACCAGCCCCGAGGGAGCAGAGCCCGCTGTGGAGCACCTGCTGCCCACCAGGCTCCTGGCCCGCTCCATGGACCGGCCACCTGGCCGCGGGGGAGGCTGTCAACCTGTTTATTCACCTGCAAATTGGGAACCTGTGGCCACCTCTAATCCCAGGAAGTAGGGTAAGAGAAGGGTCATCGGAGCCAAAGGCAAATGGCCCTCCTGTGACAGGCGTTCATACCACTCCCGCCTCCTGGGCCTCGAGGACACCCCTGCAATCCAGGGCTCTACTGAACCTCGTTCTCACTACCCTCCTTCACACACCTAGACCTTGAGAGCCTCCCTCTGCCAGGAAACCCTCCCTAAAGGCCCCAAATGAGTCTCCTTTCCTGAAGTCCTGCTCCTCCTCCAAAGCACCCCAAGAACCCCAGCTACCCAAACAAAATGGGGAGCATAGCCACAGGCTTAGGCTTCCCAAAGCCTCAGTGGTAGGTTTGCTAGTCTCTCCTGTGTGACCTTGGACAAGTCCCTCACCCTCTCTGAGCCTGTTTTCTCAGCAGATAAGATCTTCTTCTTCCCCAGAGCTTTGGGAGGACTTAAAAATAAGAAAGAGATGGGTAATTCACTGGAATTTACTTTATACTTATTCTAAAAAGGCTTCAAGAGCTTCCATAAGCACCAGTGAACCATACTGTCCACGACATTCCTCTCCTTCCTTACCATGCAAAGAATTATAGCGTTAAGGACTCTAGGTTTCATGGCCAGAAGAGCTGTCTCTAGATTTTGCCTGACTCCTTTTTAGAGACTATTTGCACAAATTCATGTTTCCCTTTTTGCATAGGCTACTCGGCATCTATAAACCAATACCCTTAAACTTACTATAGATTTCTGATACAGTAATCTCTCTTTAAAAAAAAAAAAATCTATCTTTAAAGTCAATTCCTCCCTCCAAACCATCACCTTTTAGAAATACGTTCTTTTTTTAAAAAATATTTTTTAGTTGTCAGTGGACCTTTATTTATTTATATGCAGTGCTCAGAATCAGACCCAGTGCCTCACACATGCTAGGCAAGCGCTCCACCACCGAGCCACAGCCCAGCCCAACTCTTCTGTCTCACGTGGCTGAAGATCTAATGTTCTTTCTGGAACTAGACTGATGGGGAGAGAGAGGTGGCATAAAGCAGTGACCACCAGCCTTTCTCCCATCACACCAGGAACCCACCAGATCCTGGGAGCGCAGAGGGTCTGGTGGGGAGTGCACTTCCGACTTCTCACTTGCTGCTTCCTCCAGGAAGCCTTCTCTGATCCCCAGGGGGCAGGCACTCTGGGCCTCCCGATGCTCCCTCCAAAGCTCCAGCCCCCAAGCTCCTGGGAGCAAAGCTGAGCCTGATAACCAGGCACGAGCCAGAAAAAACAATCGGGTGGAGGGCAGGGAGGTCCAGGACAGAGGACCTCCTCCAGGCCTCAGTGTCCTCGCCTTTAAATTGGGTAGAATAAGAGGTGACAAAGGCCCTGGAGCCAGTGTGCACCTGACTGGGGAGAGCGGTTCCCTTTTCCCTGCAGAGGGTGGTGCCTTTTGGGTGAACCCCCTGTCTCAGGCCCAGTGGAACTATCCATTGCCATGGAAACAGTTCAGGAAGCAGCTTCTTCAAAGAGCAGATTGGCTTTAAGAGGTGCAGGTCTTCAGAACTCTGATGGGGACCAAAGCACTAAGGCTGGGGGCCAAGGAAGGCCAGGACTCCCACATGTAGTCCCTGAGAGCAGGTGGCCCCAGCAAATTCCACCACAGCACTCTGGGTCCTACCTAGACCTCAGTGTCTACAGCTTGTGAGGAGTCCTGAGACTGCAGAGGACCCCCAAATTATCAAGCCACCAGGGTCCCTCAAACCACAGCAGCCCACACCAGTTCCTTTGATCCCCCTTATTGCAATTCTCATGGTTCAAATACAAAATGCTCCTGTCCCCTGAAACTCTTGGTTAACCCTGGGGATGCGCCAAGCCACTCTATCATCTGTCCAACTTGCTTCAAGAGCCCCTAAAGCTGCCACCAGAACCAGGTCCCTAGTTCTGGCAAAGTATATGATTCTTGGTGACTGGAAGATACACACAGGGGACCACACCAGAGAGAGGCTTCAGCTTCGGTTCCCCCGACCTGCTGGGCTCCCTGACATCCCCTCAAACCCCCCACCCCACACCCCGCTTCCCTAAGCCTAGGTCTCACAATGCCTTGCCCTTGGCTCACCCCTTCTCCACCTCTGCCTCAGAAACCCCTGAAGCCCCAGCTCAGAAGCCACCTCCTCCAGGAAGCCCTCCCTCCTCCTGGGCACCTGGCGCTGGCCCATCAGGCTCCCACCAACAGCCCAGAGCTGAGCGCTCCAGCTGTAGTGGGGTCAGTGGCTCTTCCCACCAGGAGACTTAAATTAGCCTTGGAAGAGGGTCACCTCCCAGGACAGATATTCTCACCAAAAATCAACAAAACAAAACAAAACCCCCAAAACTCTAGGAGAAGAGTTAACCGTGTAGGTTTCAGGCTGCACTTCCTGAGATTCAAATAACAATCCCACATTTTTTCCGGCGTGGGGTCCAAGGATCAGCATTTTAAACAAACCCCCCCAGCAGGATGGGGGAGGTAGCCCATAAAGGGAAAGGTGAGGGATCCTGAACTACAGGTAGCACGCACCCAGGTGGAAGTGGGTGCTCTCCAAGCGGGTGGGAGGAGGAGACCTATCTCCGGGAGGGCTAGGCACCAGGGTGACAACGCATCTCCAGCCAGTGCCTGGCGGTCTTGCTAGCACTGGGCAGCGAGGGGGACGGCGGGATGTACCCACTCTCTGGATGGTAAAGGAAAAGTGATCGATCGGCGCCCACCTCTAAGTCCATGGTCATCTATGACTACGGACCCTCCCTCAGCAGGTGGGGATCCCTCTCACAGGGGCAGCCACCGCCACCGGGTCTCCAGACCCTCCCAGGAGGGTGCTGTGGAAGAAAGCGAACACCCCAGGCCTGTAACTGGACGGGCGGGTGGTGGCGTTCCCTTGGGCCTTCGGTATCTGCGCCGAGATCTGGGAGTCTGGCCTCTGACTTCCCACAAATCCCTGTCCCCTGCCTGAGCGCGCTATCTCGGCCCTGTGGAGCCAGCCAAACCGGCTGGAACTCGGCAGGTCACCTAGAGGAAGCCAGAAAGGGCTGGCTCCAGGCGGGAGCCCATAGGGCCTGGGGCAGGGCGGTCCTCCCTCGCCGGGACCGGGAGAGTTCTGGAGCGCAGCCACGCGGAGTGCTGGTCGCTGGGCAGAAGGGGGACGAGAGTGGACTTTGCCCATTCAACCTGGGTCCCCTGGAGGGCTGTGGGCATTGTCCTGACAGAGTGGGGGCAGGGAAGAAGAGAGCAGACAACGCAAGGAGAGAGTGGTGCGCGGCGATCGCAGCTTCCGTGGGCGCTCGGGTGTGGCCGTGGGGACCACCTGGGGCGGGGCTGCTGGGCGCTGAGGCGTGAGCACCCTGAACTTGGGCGCACCGTGCACTTGCTCGCAGGCATAGCCACGGAGGCGTCCCGCGGCGAGAGGGTTCCAGGGTGATACCGGGGATCGGTCCTGGAGGCGCCCCGGGAGCAGGCACTGCGCGTCGGTGCGAGGGAGCCTGGCTGGGGTCGCACCCGGAGCGAAGAGGTGGCGCCGCTCGCGAGTCCCGGCGGCCGGGACGGGACCCCCCAACCCCTGGGCCCGCGCGCTCACCAGCTGCAGCAGCATGAGCACCCCGAGGATGGAGCGCACGAAGCCCAGATCCGGGCGCAGCGCCGAGACCGAGGCGCCGGCGCCCTGCGCGGGACTGCTGGTCCGCGTGCTCACTTTCGACGGGAACTCGGCCATGTCGCCTCCCGAGGTGGCCCCGGCCGCGGTCGCCGCCCTCCCGCAGTGGGTGCCGCTGCTCCGGGGCTCGGCTCCCCTGCGGCTGCCAGCGCTGCGCGAGGCGTCGGGCGGCAGCGGGAGCCGCCAGGTGCGGCCGAGCCGGGACCCGCCCCCGCCGCCGGACCCGCCCCCTTAACCCTCCGCTCGCCGCGGCCCGGCCAGCGCCCCAGTTCCTTTGCAGTCATCGTGGGAAACTGAGGTCGGAGTCCGCGCGATACGCAGCAGGGACAGCTGCGCATTTATCTCACGGCTTTGCTCCCCGGTGTCCTCCTGGCCAGTGGCCGGGGCGACGCAGCTCTCCGCGTGGACCACTCTCCCCTCTGCTTCTAGGGCGCTGTGTGTCCTCCAGAGAATTCCTGCGTCTCTCTGGACACCCAGCAGATCTCTTGCGCGACTCCGAGTACTGGGGCTGTGTCTGTGCAAACTGGGCAGGAGAAGGGGGTGTACCTTTTATGTCTTGATGCAGCGTTCACTTCCAAACATCGCTAGGAAACTCGGTGGTAGGTGGCTGAGTTTCCATTTCCTCGTCTGTCAACCAGAGGCAGGCAGGGCCTGCGACGCACAGGGCAGTCGTGGGGAAGAAATGAAATATTGAGCTGGGGGTGGAGGAATCACTTAGAAGACGGGAGGTGATGTTGGGGTTTCTGATTCATTGCTCCCTGTGCACCCCAAGCTCTCACGCGCCTCAGTTCACAGGTGTTTGCACAGATACTTCGCGTTTATTCATCGATCCACGTTTGCCTGGCACCTAGCAGCAACTCTATGTCTGGCCCTATCCCAGGCCCTGGGGACACAGCAGGGAACAAGCCAGACAAGGTCTCCTGGGGCCTACTTTCTAGTAAGAGTGACAAGGGAAAGAAAGAGGAGAGAGAGAGAGAGAGAGAGAGAGAGAGAGAGAGAGAGAGAAGGAAAACTAATTTCAGATAGATAGAGAAAAATGCTGTGGCTTAAGCAGAGGAATATGACAGGGACCTGGAGGAGATTTTTAGATGGGTGGTCCAGGAAGACCTGTCCAAGGAGGTGCCATTTGTGCAAAGACTTGAGCCATGAGTAGGGGCCCTTGAAAGCTCTGTGGGAGGAGCTTGGTGCAAGAGCCCCCAGACTGCACCAAGTTAGCCTGAAGAACAGTAAGAAGCCTGAGGCCTTAGGGGCTGGGCCCAGTCAACAAGATTGACACTGGCCACTGTGGGCAGAAGCCAGATCAGGCAGGGCCGTCTAGATAATTATGCTAGTGACCTCTGGCTGCTATGACAAGTTATCACAAACTAAGTGATTTAAAACAACAAATTTAAACCCAGCATGGTTGTGGTACTCACCTGTGATCCCAGAGGCTCAGGAGGCTGAGGCAGGAGGATCATGAGTTCAAAGCCAGCCTCAGCAATTTAGGAAGACCCAAAGCAACTCAGCAAGACTGTGTCTGTAAATGAAATTTAAAAAAAGGGCTGGGAATGTGGCTCAGTAGTTAAGTGTCCCTGAGTTCAATACCTGGTACAAAAAAAAAAAATCAAGCTGGATGTGGTGGTGCTCGCCTGTAATCCCAGCTACTGGGGAGGCTGAGGCAAGAGAATTCCAAGTTCAAGGCCAGCCTGGAAAATTTAGTGAGACACAGTCTTAAAGTAAAATTGAAAGGGCTGGGATATAGCTCATTGATAGTGTTCTTGACCAGCAGGTGTGAGGCTCTGGGTCAGTTCCCAGTTCTGCAAAACAAACCAACAAAACCCAGCAGAAATTTGCTCTCTCATACTTCTGGAGGCCAACTATTTGAAATCAGTTTCATGGAGCCAAAATCAAATCACGGAGTCCTCTGGCCATGCTTCCTCCACCCCTGTCTCTTCCTCCAACATCATGTTATACCTTCCTCTTCGGTTTCTTATATGGATACTTGGGGTTGGATTAGGGTCAACTCAAAGAATCCAAAATAATCTTGTAGTACTGGAGACTGAACCCAGGGCCTTGCCTATGTTAGGCAAGCACTGTAGCCCTTGGCTACATCCTTATCCTCCCCCTACTTTTTTTTTTTGGGGGGGGGGGGGGGGAGGGGGAAAATGGGGTTTGGAACCAGGGGCACTTAACCACGGAGCTATATCCCTAACCGTTTTTACTTTTTATTTTGAGAAAAGGTCTCACTAAATTGCCCAGACTAGCCTCAAATTTGTGATCCTCCTGCCTCTGCCTCTACTTGAGTTGCTGAGATGACAGGTGTCTGCACCATGCCCAGCAAGACTCCATATCTTTCCTTTCTTTTCCTTTATACCTGCCTGTCCTCCCACCTCGGTCCCCTCCACCTGGGACCCTTTTTCTGTTTTACTTTCTATCTTTCTTTTCTTTTCCTTTTTGTTGGTACCAGGGATTGAACCCAGGGGCACTTAACCACTGAGCCACATCCCCAGATCTTTTTATTTTTTATTTTGAGTCAAGTTCTCTCTGAGTTGCTTAAGGCCTTGCTAAGTTGCTGTGGCTGGCCTTGAATTTACTATCCTCCTGACTCAGCCTCCTGAGCTACTGGGATTACAGGTGTTCACCCCACCCCCAGCCCCCTTTTTCTTTTCTTTTTTATTCTTTTTTTTACTTTTTTATTTGTTGATGGACCTTTATTTATTGACTTCGATGTGGTGCTGAGAATCGAACCCAGTGCCTCACACAAGCGCTCTACCAACTGAGCCACAACTCCCCCCCCACCCCCTTTTTCTTTATAAGGCAAAATTTACAGATTCCAGGATGAGGCTATGGAAGATCTTTGGGTGGCCATTATTCAGCCTACCACAATTGATGGAAAGGAGTTAACTTTTATTTTAAAGCCTAGAGGGTTTTAAGCAGGCAAGTGACAAGATTGGGGAACTTTGAAAGGATCCCTGGTCAGCCAAATGCAGGGGCACATGCCTGTGATCCCAGCTACTCCAGGGGCTGAGACAGGAAGATCACAAGTTCGAGGCCAGCCTCCGCAGCTTGGTGAGCCTCTGAATCAAAAATAAAAAGTGAGCTTCCCTCCCATGCACAAGGCCCTGGGTTCAATCCCCAGCACCACACACACACACACACACACACACACACACACACACAAAATCAATCAATCAATAAATAAATAATCAAAAGTGGAAAATAGGCCCAGGGATGGAGCTAGTGGTAAAGGGCCCTGGGTTCAATCCCCAGTATATATATATAAAAGGGGTGGTGGGGAGAAAAAGAAATAGAGAGAGAGACAAAAAAGAAAGACTCAAATGGTTGTTTAGACCCTTCCCCTCCTACCCACCCCGGGTGGAGCAGGTACTCTGGAAAGGACTTTTTAGTAACTGCAAAACTGTTCCCCAGAGAGCAGCCCCTTTGTAGACCAGTCGCAGTGTAGAACAAAGCTCGGGTGAGGACATATAATTTTATCATGACACAGAAAACAAGAAAGTGATTGTTTCTGAGGCAGATTCTAAAACAGTAGGGTGTTTTTGTTTTGCTTTTGGTTTGGATTTTGTTTTTTTGGTTAATCCCACTTTCATTCCTTTCAAATGGCAGCGAGCAGGGCTGAATTGCCGCACTGTCTTCCTGCTACGACATTTTCTTCCAAACCAACTTCACTCGCCCCAGTCAGAAGAAGTGGGAAGGAACCTGGCCCAGGCTGGAACCTACTGCCCACCCACATCTCCACTGGCACCATGAGAACTTTGGGTTCTTGGGATGGGGTTGGGTGTGGGGGACCGAGGCCCAAGCTGGGGCTGAGGAGTCAGCCCGTCCACTCCTAGGCCTGGCCCCCTCCTGGGGTCTGGACCGGCCACCCCCACCTGGAGCACCTTCAGCACAAAGGAGCTTACCCTGTGTGCTGGGCCGGGTGTGCTGGAGAGGCAGTGGGGACTCGGGCCCTGAGAAGATGTTTAGTGGGGGCCTTGGGTGCATCAGGCCCTGGGGACATCTGTGAGCTGTGGTCAGAAGTCCGCCCTCAGAGAGTCTTAGCAAGAGACAGAGAAATAGATAATCACTGAAAATAATTATGTTACTCCAGAAAAAGAGAAGGTTGTCATGAGAGAGAGTAATTCTGAGGATGGGGGTATCATGGAGAAAGCTAAATCCGAGAAGCTCTGATCGTTTAAAAAAAATTTTTTTTTAGTTGTCAGTGGACCTTTATTTTATTTATTTATATGTGGTGCTGAAAATCAAACCCAGTGCCTCACACGTTAGGCAAGTGCTCTGCCACTGAGCCACAACCCAGCCCCAAGGTCTGATCATTTAAGCAGAGACCTGAAAGACGAGTAAAAATCAGACAGAGAAAATTGCCATATGTGCAGAAAATATTTGGGGGGTCTTTCAGGAAAGATGGAAGGCTATGAACTCGGGGCATGGGGAGCGATGAGATAGAAGAGGCAAACAGGGACCAGATCACATGGGTCTTAAACCCTTGGTAATGGAGTGGATTTTATTAAAAATGACAACCACGTTAACAGTGTTTAGAGGTGATAAAAGAAAAGAAAAGGAATATAAAGAACAGGGCACTGAGCTGGGTGCTGCGATGGTAGTGCACATCTGTAATCCCAGCAGCCTGGGAGGCTGTGGCAGGAGGATTGCAGGTTCGAGGCTAGCCTTAGCAACTTAGCCAGATTGTCTCAAAGAAAAAAAAGGGCAAGGGGTTCAGCTCAGTGGTAGAGAGTTCCTGGGTCCACTCCTCAGTAACACACACACACACACACACACACACACGGCTACTGAAGGACAGTTAACTAATTGATTTATAACATTAAGAAGTCCACACTAAGGTCCCTGTGGACTTCATCTGACAGCTGCCAGAAGCCAGCTTTGGGAAGATGCCAATTACAATCAGCAAATGATGACCGAGGCTTTCCAGCTTGGCCCGAGCCGATGGCATAGTTGTAATGCTTTCATTCTCTTAGTTTTAGTTCCACAATTGACTCATTAATTTATTTCATTGCCTATCACACATACCTCTTCCAATCCACATCTTGCCCTCTAGGGAATCGTGGCTAAGAGTTGATGTATCCTACCGGATCTTTTCTTTCTGTTTTCTTTTTACTTTTTACTGATGTATATTCAGAAATCTAAGACTTCTTTGTGTATTATTT